AGCTCCTCAGGCGTATTCCAGCTGGGCAGGGCTGCAGGTGCCGTCGCTCTTGTGCTCGGCGGCTGCCACGGTCGCCTTCCCCTCGCTGCCGCCGCCGCTCTCCAGGGGTTTGGCAGACATATAGTCCCGAACTTCGATCTCCATCTTTTTGGCTTTCAGGGCTGCCATGTGCAGCTTCTCCAGGAAATCCGGCATGCCTGGGCGGGGGGGAGAGGGTGAGAGAAGGGGGAGAGGGACGGGCATCCGCGGAGATAAGACCCTCCTGTCTCACCCCCTTCTCCAGCTCCAGTCCCTTCTCCCCCAATTCTTTTCCCTTCCTAAATTTTCCTTCCCCCCCTAATAACAGCTCTGCCACTTTACTACAGAATCCTTCCGGTTGGAAAAGCCCCTCGGGATCAGCGAGTCCAACCCTCAGCCCGACTCCACAAAGCTCTCCCCTACCCCACATCCCCCCCAGCTCATCCCAACGGCCCTGAAACCCCCCCGGGATGGGGACTCCCCCCTCCCCGGGCAGCCTGTTCCACTCTCGGACCACTCTTGCTGGGAAACATTTTCTCCTCCTGCCCAGCCTGACCCTCCCCTGGGGCAGTTTCCAGCCGTTCCCTCTTGTCCTGTCCCTGATCCCCTGGGAGCAGAGCCCAGCCCCGGCCTCTCTGCAATGTCCTGTCAGGAGCTGCGGAGAGGGATGAGGGCTCCCCTCAGCCTCCTCCTCCTCACCCTGAACACCCCCAGCTCCTTCCCTGGCTCCTCACAGGATTGATTCTCCAGCCCCTCCCCAGCCTCGTTGCCCTCCTCTGCCCTCGCTCCAGCCCCCCGAGATCTCTCTGGGATTGAGGTGCCCAAACCTGGACACAACCCTCCAGGTGTGGCCTCCCCAGTCAGAGCAGAGGGGACTGTCACCTCCCTGCTCCTGCTGGTCACACCAGTGCTGACACAAGCCAGGAGGCCGTTGGCTTTCTCGGCCACCCGGGCACACTGCTGGCTCCTGCTCAGCTGCTTGGCAGCCCCTCCTGCGAGCCCTGGGGAACCTCACCACCTCCTGGCTACACCATGAGTGACCTGGGAGCGAGGCTGGGACACGTTAATTGATGTTTAAAATGATTGCGGCCGCACAAGCTCCACGCGGTCGCACCTGGAGATGCTGTTTTCCCCACCACTCATCGTTTTTATTCTAAAAACCAAGCAATAAGCGCACGGAGGAGGCCCCTGCATCAGGCAGGCACGGGGAGGGTGTGGGTGACACCAGCCCCCCCCGGAGCCTCAGCTGACTTTTTAGATGCATTAGAGCGCACTCCGGAAGAGGTTTCAGTGGTTGGCAAAGCAGGAAGGTGCAAGAAAAAAAAAAAAAAGGTTGCTCTGATGCCCGAGTGTGTTGAATGAACCTGTTTCAACTCTTTCTCATATCAGTCTCTACCACGAGCCACGTGATGGTGAGAGGAGGGAAAAAAAAGCGAGAGTTAGAAGTGGTGACAGCCCCTTTTTCTCCTCCTCCCCCAAGAAAGCAGTGCTCTCCATCTTTCCCCTGCTGGGAGGGGAGCGCTGAACCAGTGGATATCCCACGGCCAAACGCACCTTGAGCTCTTCCAGGTTTATTTGTGGGACGGCCGTTGTCTCGGCCAGATCCTTTAAATGCTGGTTTCCCCCCCCCCCTCGCCCCCAGAAAGCCAAGCTCCTTTGTGGGAGGTTCAGTGCAGGCACTGTTCCTCTAAACTTGGGAGTTTTCTTCTCTGTTTGCTGTAAAGAGGAAGAACTCAAATGCAGAAATAGTTCAGAGCCAACGCTGCTCTGAAGTAAGGAAAAATCAGCTCATTTTATTTAAGTTAAAAAAAAAAAAAGGAGGGGGGGAGGGATCCTACTGGTTTTTCCTTCTGCCTGGGGTGGACTAGAGAGAAGGAGCACCCCTGCACATGGACTCCTTTCCTCCTCACAGCCACAAATCCAGGCACAACTCCCTCCCCGTGAGAAAGGAAGAGCAGCCCAAGGCACCCAAAGTACCCCCCCAAATCCTCCAGATCTCTGTTTTTACACTTCTCCATTTATTTTCTGCCCCACAGAGGTGCAGGAGGGGAAGGCGGAAGCACACGGGCCTTCTCCTGAGCAAGGAGCTGGAGGAATTTCTGGCCGAGGGGTGAATCGTCCCCACCAAAGCTCACTCACCGCTCGAGACCATCCAGCTGACGCAGTAACGGGGGAACACGGTCTGCGGGTTGTCACTGTAGGTCAGCAAATAGTCGAAACCGTTCTGGGAAAGGAGAAAGGAGTGAGCCTGAGCTGGCAGAGAGACTCCGCTGGGTTCTGCAGCCTCACTTAAAGCCCCTTTAGGGCCGCTCAAGCACTACTGGGGCATCGATTGAAGTGTTAAGGGGGTGACCAGACCCAGAGACCCAGTGAAAGCACATGGGGAGGGTTTTTTGAGAAGGTGGAAGGTGTCATTCCCCCGGTTCTCCCAGCACACTCTTTTCAGGCTCCGGTTACCCTACAAAGACCCAGCGATGCTTTTTCTGGGAGAATTAAGTGCTAGGAACGAGACTTGCAAAACTCACGGCCTTCTAAAAGGAGCCTGGTGCTCTGGCGTTTGGCTCGCCGGGAGCACCACGCTGCTGCTGAGAGTCAAGCTAGTGGGACAGAGCTTCAAATCTCTCCAGAGCTGTGCATGGATGGGCTTCCCTCACTTCTGGGAAAATAATTCATCCCTTTTTTTTTCCCCCCCAATTCAGGACTACTGACGGCAGCTTAGTGCTACAGATAAGAACCAGAGAAGGGGCAGTTCCCCTCGGAGCAGTGGTGTGAGCAGGAGGAAGCTCTCTCCTGACAGGCTCTCTGCTCCATTTCGCAGCCCACCCCCAAAACGTACCTCGTCAAAGGTTTTGTGGGGACGGATGACCATTTGGGATTCATAGGTTCTGACCCGAACGTACTCAGGGTCTTCGGGGACGCTCGGATGCTCCACTGCCCTGGAGGGAAGAAGAAGAGGGAGCAGCAGACGATGAGCTCCAGGTGTGACTACACTGAGCATCAGCTGCTATTTTAGAGGTCGGTACTAAGAGAACAAAGTTTTCACCCCAGAGAAGGATTTTCAAGACAGATCCCTGAGGTTTTGACGTTGTTTTTAAAAATAATAATTTTTAAAATCTCATTAAATTTATACCCAGCTCTTAACTTTGTAGTTTTTTTACAAAGCCACCAGGAGGTTGGCCTGGCAATACCTACCGTGAGACCAGCACCATCAGGTTGTTCTCTTTGTCTACGCTGTACCGCCGAACGTATACGTAGTCTCGCGAGTACATGGGGTACTGGGGAAGAGAAAGAAAGAGGCATCAGCCCTGCTGCTGGCCGCTTGCCCAGGGTAAGGAGGGTGAGCGGAGCAGGGAAGGAGCAGCCGCTCACCGGGAAATGAGTGACCCAGTGAATCACTTCCGATCCAGTGGCCAGGTCTCTCTCAATTACGTCTAATTTGATGACCAGCGAGTCCCACTTCTTCCTATATTCAGTGTCCAGCTGGCAAGAAAGAGAGGCTGAGTCACAACAAAGTCCAACAGCATCGCTAAAGGAAGGTAACCAGCCCTTTTCCTCATCCTGTGGAAACAAGCTGAGTCACGGTCAGGCGTTTTCCCCACCAGGAAATTATTAAACACTCTTTGAAAGTCACCAAAAGAGGAAGTGCAGGAGCTGGCAGGGCAGGCAGGGAGCGAGCGAGGACAGAAACCCGCCGAGCTCCTGCGGCCGATCGCAGCCCACACGTGCCGATCCTTCATTTCCAGCAGGGACGGGCAGCAAAACCCGATCGGGGCGTGGGATAACTCGCCCTGCTTCTGGTCTAATACTGGGATTGGCTCCAGCTCACGTAAATGGCATAAAGATAAGGGGGTTATCTGGTCTAACACGCCACACAGCCCAGATTTCACAGGCGCTCACCTGGACATTGAAGAACTGCCTGGGAGTCACATCTGTGTACGACCCAAACACTGCGGTAAAGAGAAAGTTTTTAGTCCCGGGCATAAGCGAGTCTATCTCAGTGCAGCAGGATTAAAAGGAAAAGGCTTTAGATTTTTTTTTTTTTTTTTTAAGGCAGGTGGCAGGGCTGGGACCCCTCTGAAGGGCTAAGTGGGGACAGAATCTGCAGAAAGGGATGGAAAGGATGAAAATTCCCTTTCTTTTTATTTTTTGGTTTCCTATAAATGCAGGCCAGGTGGGAAGCAAGAGGCACACCCCCCCCGGGGGGACTCAGTGCAGGGAAGCCAGGTACTGGGAGCACCGTTACCTCGGTACTGGTATAAGTGGGTGCCCTCGATCGGCCGCCGCCAGAGCTTAAAGTGCTTCTTGTCCATGATCATCTCCCAGGGCTGCTCCCCGGGAGCAGCGACCGCCTCTCGCTCCGATTTGGGATCCAGCCGCTGATACTCGCCCGGGCTGCCGCCCTGCAAGAGGCTGGAAATGTTCTCCATGTGCTTCATCTCCTGCGCAGACCTGGGGGAAGGTGAAAACCAACACGCTGGTTAGTAACCAAAGCCTCGCTGGAGCCTTTCTGCTACAGACTGAGCACTGCAAGACCGGCAGAAACCTTCCCAGCACGGTCCAAGCTTCATCCAGAGGGGTTTTGGTGTGAGAAAAGCAGCCTGGGCTCTCCCCTCCTGCTTTGGAAAACCCACCCCTGCAGTCTTTTTTCTTTCATCCTAACAGTCTTGTGCTGAGATATATTACACAGCATTAAAAAAAAAAAAATTAAAAAAGAAAATAAAAATCACACTACGTTGTGTTCAGGGGGGGCTTCCCACATCTTCTTGCAGGGTAGAAACCTAGCCTGGGGTTGAACGAAGCTGCTGGGGAGTCCCTAAGCCAGGCAGCCCTTGCAACATCACGAAATGTCACCCGCAGCTGCAGGGCTCGCTCTTCAAGGAGAGGAAGGGAAAAAAAACCCAAAAAAACAACCCGCAGGATAGCAGCAGTGGCTGGTTTTCAGGGGAAGCGTGCGGGGGCTTGTTCCTTCTTGGGATGGGAAGTGCTTCTCCCCTGCCCCAGCGAGATCAAGCAGACAAACCACCCTCCGTCCTCAGCAAACGTCAGCCTTTCCAGGACGAAAAAACAAACCAAAACCACCTCACGGCGGTCGCAGTCAGATGCTCGCAACCCAGAATTTGTTTTTCTGGCCGAATGGAGTAGAAGCTGTGTGGGATGAAACAGAAAGCAAGGTGGGTTCAGGAAAAGGAGGGTTTCTGGATTGAAGGCACCAGGGGAGGAAGTTGTTTGCAGGATTGAGATTTGGGGTGCAAGAGGAGGTGGAGAGGGAAGGAGAGGGGTCTCCCCATTGTTTCAGGGGGCGGGCTGGCTCCTCAGAGCCCACCTTGGTCCGAAAAGCGACAAGAAGCGAATCGCCGACGGCAGCCAGAGGCTGCCAGGCAGCAAAGGGGAACAGCAGCTTCCCCTACAAGAGGGGGGACAGAAGTGGGGGCGCTTCTCACAAACGTGGCTCCACGGACCATCAAGCCCCAAGTTTCAGCGCTCCTCAGCTACAGAAACTGGATGCAGATCTCAAGTTTCAAAAATACTGAGGGAAGAGAAGAGGCTGGGAAAACCCCCCACCTCCAGGATAAACCCCTCCGAGCTGCGGCCGCAGCCCCCCAAAATAAAACATTAGAGAGGAACAGCTGGTTTATCTACACCTGCAGCCCTCAGCCTCAAGGAAGGAGGATCACTCGGTGCTTTCAACCCTCCCGGCGGTGCCTGAAGACATTAATTATATTAAAGTAATTAGCATCAGCCAGAACTAAAGCGCCGATTTGCAACCTGCAAGGCAGGTCTCACTGGTCTGGCTGAATTAATGTTGATGGTCTCTGGAAATTACCAAGCTCCCAGTCTCCCCTGGACTCCTCCGAAGGCTTCGAGGGATGAATTTGATACGAAAACCCACCTTCTGCCAGGTTTGGGGGGCACAGCTCTGGCGTGAGCCCCCCCACGCTGCTCTACCACTACCTTCACGGGGCGGGGAGAGCCCCGCTCCCTCCACCTCCTGCTTCCCACCACTGGTTTATTTATTCCCTTTGCTGTGCCCCTCCGTGAGCTCGCTCCTCTCGCCGGCGTGGCAAAACCCAGCCGGGCTGGGTGAGCAAACAAGATGGGGTGGGAGAGGACACGGAGCGGCGCGAGCTGCGGAATCGGAACCAGGAGACCTTTCCGAGCGGGATCATCTCTCCGTGCAGCAGGACGGGATGAGCTCAAACCAGGGCAGGGAGCAAAGCCTCCCTGCTCCTGCTTCGCCACCTCCATCCTCATCGGAGATGAGCTAGAAAAGTAACAGCCGCAGGATTTATCCGTGTCGAGGCGCAAGGCTGCTGCTGGCCTTGGCCCTTCCCTCCGCAAACAAGCGCCCGTCTCGCGGCGTAAGAAACAAAATCCACCATTCCCTCTCCCTGCGGAATGGGTACAGTCCTGCACCACCTGAAAACCAAACCGTTGTCTGGAGAGCAAGGGGGCTTCGCAGCACGAGCCCAGCCCCGCGCCCTAAACCTGCTCGGTTTTCATTTCCAAACGAAGGGAATTGCGGGAGGAGGCAGTTCCCAGCCCGGCAGCAAAGCTCTCACCTCAGCAGCGCGTCCATCGCCCAGCGCAGCTCGCTCTCACCGGCGCCACGGAGGACGAGGCGCCTTCGTTAGCCGGCGGCTAAAGGACGCCTGGATGCCAAAAGCCGTCTGAGCCGCTTCCCTGGCTGGTGTCCAGCCCCGGCCGTGCTTCACCTGGGGGGCTGCGGCGGTGTCTGTGCACCAGCACCGGGCAGGGTGTCACCACAGGGGACAGGGGGACAGGCTGGAGGTGACACTGCCCACAGGCGCAGCTCTCCCCGTGCTATTTTTGACCTCTCCCGACAGCTACAAACCACCGTGCCAGAAGGTGGGATTATGGGTTTTACCAAGGAAAAAAAAAAAAACAAACAAAAAACACCACAAAGCTGCCCCCAAAGTTAAACGAGACGGGGACAGGAGAGCTGGGAGGGGAGGAGAAAGACGATACCAAAGCACAGAGCTATTTTAAACCCCGGGAGGAGACACAGCTCCCTGGTGACACAAAGCCACCGGCGAGCTAACCGGGAGAGGAGAGCTAAACCAGAAGTTTCACCATGCAGATTTTATCCTATTTATTTATTTCCGCTGTCGTTCTGAGCCCACGTGCGGCGTGTTCCCACCCGTCTTGTGAAAAATACATCGGCGGTTGAAGAGAGCAAAGCCCTCCCGCAACTCCGACTCGTTATAACAACAAGCAAAGAGTTTGCTGAGGATTTTATCGCTCCCACAACTAGACTGAAGCTTAGCGAGCCACGAGGGAGAGTAAATGATTAAAGGAATAAGGAGAAAGTAAATAACAAAGAGGAATATTAACAGTGAACTTGCTCTGGCGTGGTAAAGTGAAGGAAAAGGTCTGGGCTGAGTCGTCCTTAAATTAAGGGGAGGAGGCTCAAGCCTGCAAAGAATAACCTTGAACAAGAAAAGACTGATGCTGCTTTTAATCCCAGGCCTAAGCCGAGCCCTGCTGAGCTCACTGGAAAACATCAGGCAGGGTTTAGCCCCGGCGCTGGGACCCGACAGGCCACGGGACACAGAGCGGCAGCTCTCTCTGTTGGGGAATAAACCCAGGATTTGGTCCTTTTTCAGCGCTGGCCACGCGTAAAGGCCGGAGATCTCTCCAAAATGTTCGAAGGTGTCATAAATCAGGGCGTGAGGGTTGTTACTCATTAGCTCCCCGATTTAATTAAGCCTTAGGTAAGCTACTTAAGCAAATACGGGGTATTTAAGTCCCACAGGACGGTCTGGATAAGGCACCCGGACGCAGAATTTAAGAGATGGGAAACCTGGCGATGCCCCATTGCACCCTGAGCTTCTCATTAAGTTTTAATTAACCTCTCCTGACTCACCCCTACTTTATCACAGGCTACGCTGGATAATTACGCCTAAACGAAGCCGCACGCTTCCACAGCACCTGAAAAAACAACCCGAAAGGTCTGAGGGTCCTTCTATCGTCATCCCATCGGATCGGGGGGCACCGTGCCCCCCCCCGCGCCACGCAAGTGCTTTCCCCCAGGTGTAAATGCTCCCCCAGGTGTAAATGCTCCACGCAGCTGCACGAGGGTGGCATCCAGTACTTGGGGGGGGGGGGTGGCACCCCTGGGTGTGTGGGTGTAGGCAGCCACCCCAAAGCCACTGTGGGGAGGGTTTTGGGGAGGCACCCTGTTGAGATAGGATTTGGGGGAGGAGGGTGCACCCCCAGGGCCCAAGGAGGCGGGGGGGAGCAAAGCAAGCAATAACAGGATTTAAGGAACAAAGGGTGCACCCCCCCCAGCACCCCAATAAAAGAGCTAGGGGACACCCTCCCACACAGCACCCAGGGAAGGATTTTGGGGAGCACCCCAGTAGATTTAGGGAGGCACCCTGTGGGGGGAGGCCTCGAGGGCTGCAACCCCATGGGGCAAATTTGTGGGAGAATCTACAGCGGGAGTCATTCCAGGGCCCGAAAAGGTTTGCGAGGGCACCACCCCACCCCAGAAAATCCGGGGAACACCCCCAAGGATTTGGGCACTCTCAGGCTTTCAAAACTTGAGGTGCACCCCTAGTGATGAGGGACTCGAGGGGTGGGGGCTGCCTCTCTAAAGAGCTTGGTGGGGGCACCCCAAGCCCTTGTGCACCTGGCAAGGAGGGGGGGGCGCACCCCTTGGGATTTGGGGGGCCCCTCAGGCCCTAAGGAACAGGGTGGGACCAAGGGGTTTGGGGCATCTTCCCACCCCCCTCCCATGCGCCGGGAACCCCGGACCCCAAGGATTTGGAGCGTTCCCGGCCCCCTGAGGATGGGGGCGGGGGGGTGTGTCGGTCCCGGGGGGGCCCGCGGCAGACACCCACCGCTGCAGCTCCT